AGAAGAAGACAGCATAAACTGAAAAAAGGTTGCTGGATTTGCATAAAAAAAATATATATATATATATAAATAAATAAATAAATAAATAATAAAATATGGAAAGCAGTTGCTGCAATAAAATTATGTTTAGGTCCTGAAACTTATTTTGATCCCCTCTGCACATAATTTTCTCAGAACATGAACGTCACTTTTTCATGTTGTTGAAATTTGGTCAACTCAACCTGAATATACATATTTATCTTATGTTACCTTATCATGAAAATTTGCCTTTTTATGGTTTTATTTGTTTATGTATAATTTGCATTCTGTCAACACAATTATTTTAACATGCAACATCAAATATCCTTAAAGGGTTTTTAAGTAAAAGAATACAAAAACAGTCATTGTTTTCCACAGTTTTGTATTGTCTTAAACAGAAACAAACACACAGAGAACACAGGTACAGGGACACAGATTTTGGAGCTGGACAGTGTGTGGACTTATTCCAGTGAAGACTTCTGGTCTCTCCCTGTGGACACGGGAATAATACATGATTACATTATGATGATCTACTCTGTGTTGTGCATGTTTAAATATACTTGAAGCACATAATCCTCTTTGATGCGCACGGTGTGTCCTCTGCTCCTGTAACTGTGTCCTGCTACTACTGAATTTTCCCTCCAAAGGTTTGGGGGATGGGAATTCCAGAGGGAGGAGCTTCACCAGAAATTATAATAAAGTTATGTTTCCTCAGGCTGATTAAAACATGCAGGTCTAACATCAGTCACAATCAAGCGACCTTTGTAAGATTTAAACATGCTGGACAGAGAACCATAAAAAATTCATGTTATTGTTGTCAAATTTGTGTTTGCAATTTGAACACCGCCTCTCAGACCATTTTTTCAGTGTAAATATGCAGGGTTTGTGTTAATAACCTTGCCTTGTCAAAGAGTTTAAATACCTGGGACTGACGTTGGACCCGACATTGACATTTAAAAAATACATTAAGTGCCTTACTAAAACTGTTAATTTTAACTTAGTGAATTTTAGACAAGTAAGACCTTTTATGACTTTATATGCTGCATGAATGTTTTTACACTCCATGATTCTGTCCCATATAGAATACTGCATAACCACATGGTCACTCGCTGCTGGCACAACACTCAAACCCATCGAATCACTTTTTTAAAAAGCCATAAAAATACTGGACAAGAAACCATTCTCATTTCACCACTGTACTATTTTAGACAAGTATAATTTGCTTAATTTTAATAATTTTATTGGTTTTAAATATGGATGTTTTGTCTATAAAGTTTGCATGGACTTGCCCCTTCTCCATTACAGGATTTTATTAAAGTAAAGACTGTGAGTGGGATGGGAACTAGGGCCACAGCCCGGGGGAACTGTTACGTCCCACAAAGATGCACAACATTCGGACAATGTGTGTCTCAGTCAGAGGCACAAAATTTTGGAACAGTCTGCCACTATCAAATAGAGAAACTTCAACTCTTGCCACCTTCAAGTCCTACTTAAAAGAGTGGCTAAAGAAAAACCAGACTTGTGGACACTTTTAGTATAGATTTGTTACTTGTTTTTGCTTTGTTTAAATTTGTGGTGTTACCTGCCTATATAGGGACTACAGATGGAAATTAGCAGTCTTGCTATAATCTGTCATATTTACACTGCAATGTTGTAGATGTTCATTAATATGCACTGTCCCTATTAAATAAATAAATAAATGAATAAAAAATAAGTAACTTGCAAGGACATGAGATTTATCAGATGTGAAAAATAAGGTTCAAAGTGGATAAGTGGAAGGAATGTATGCCGTTTTTGTTTATAGTAATATACATCATAATAATTTTGGATTTTATAAGAGGTGAACAACATCCCAAAAACGCCTCTGAATCCTTACAGGAGGCTGTTTCATCAAAAGGCCATTAATGTGTAGCCACCTTTCAATTACATTTTCACTACTTGTATAGTGGAATACAATGTTGTCAACACTCCATACATCTGCGTCTGTAGAAATAAAGCTAAAGTGCCACAGAGGGAGCTCAGAGGGCGCACGTGACGAATGACTGCCGAGGGAACAGGGACCCAGCCTCTTACATGGATCACGTATAGCGAGACCAAGCAGGGAGTTGTGTTTCACTTAACCGGAATGGATGGAGCAGAGACGCAGAAGTGGAGGGACAGAGGATGAAGGATGAGTGGGAGGAAGTCCGAGGGAGCGGGACAGAGAATGAGTGATGAGGAGGAGGAGAGAGGGAGGAAGAGGACAGGAAATAGATGAGGTGCAGAGACGGGAACAGTGAAGAGTGGAGAGGCCAGTGAGAGACAAGAGAACTAGAGAAATAATGTACATCAATGTGACCTCGTGATGGGATGGGTTTTATCATTATGTGTTGGAAATGAAAGTGGCTGTCATAACGTTATGGTTGTTTTTCTGTCGTTATGGTTGTTTTTCTGTTTGTATCAGTCACCTAAAAGTGTAGAAGTTTAAAAATGGTGAAGGTTGGAGTTACAAAAATGGTCTGGGTAAAAAAACACAAAAAACTGTTGTGTAACTTTTCTGGTGGAGGGTCCGTCAAATGCTTTTTTTTATCTATGGAGATGCTTTGTCTGGAATGTTTCTCAGTATGATATTTAACCTTTTATCTTCATGGAGACCAAACCAGATCAAGTTACATGTCAGATCTGTGGAGAGGCGACCCCGCTCACAGTCAGAATGCATATTTTTTTAAGTATTTCTGAGCTATTATACCACCCCTAATGTAATAAATGTAAGGTAGTGCTGTCATAGTGTGGAACTTTCCCCCAAACAAAAAGTTACATGATGCACCTTTAATACAAGTAAATTGGATTACACACAATTTTACATAATGATTCAGAATATTTTATCATCTTAAACTGTCAAACAACAGCTCCTTGTGTTCGATTAATATTTTAAAAACTTTTAATAAGATTCTTTAAAACTATAATGTGTAATTTTCTGAGACTGAAGTAGAAAGTTAAAACCATACTTTGGAACATTCTCCATGGAGATAGCAATTAAAATATATTTATTATAGTAACAATTAGCCCTGTCTTGTATACTGTTGTAATGGCTTTTCAAACTTTGTATAACTTTTAGAGAATATTACAAGTTGGCAAAGTGAGGTGAGGAAAAGTATTAATTTCAAAAGCCTTTGAGCACATATTTACTGTATCGAGTGTACATTTCTTTGTCACTACTTGCAATGAAACATTATATATGCAAAACCAATGTATGAGGAAGGCTGCAAAATGGATGTAAATGAAAAACGTAAACATGCAGGAGTTGTAATGTATTCAATTATATTTCTTTAAACAACAACATCGACTATAGACATTTGCCTCAGTGAGTCTACCCAAGGGCAGTTCTGACCACATCAGTAGCTTACCACCACCACCAAGTATGGAGTGAATAAATAATGCAAGAAACTGTAAAGTGACTTCTGGGAAAAAAGGATTCATGCATTATTGCTGTTTTTGAGTGGGTATGGTCACCTCTAATCACTTCCAATGGTCTTAGACATGTAGAGGTAGAAAAATAGCCATTCAATCCATGTTCAAAACTTACCACTATGTTATAATGCTGTTACCTCTTTAAACAACATTCCTGGAGGTGTGTTTTGCATGGACCAAACAGAAAGGCAAAGACAAGGTATAAAAATAAGCTTAAATTTAATAAAGTTTAAAAAATAATAATTTAACAAAGGCTCAAATTAGGCAAATCATTAACAAAAAGCCTGTGGTAACTTAGGATCAAACGCAACAGAACAAAACTAACCCGACAAAGAGCAGGGGTGTTTAAATACATGAGAACCAACTAAAACTGAACACAGGAGGGGGAAATTACACTAAATAATTAACTGAAATTACTAACTTAATCAAAATAACAAGGCAAATAAGTATAATACAGAACATATTAAGTGTTAATTAAGTGACCTTAAACAAACTAGACAAACAAACTTAGTAAAACAAATTAAATAGTGCTCCCCCTTTTGTTTGGCATGGATGGACTCTGCCAAGGGTCCACTCCAGTCCAGCCACTCAAACAAACAAAAAGAACAAGTGTAAGTAAATAATTCAGACTTATACTAAAATATGTGCACCCAAATTAGAATATAAGTCTAAATAAAGGAATTAAATAATGTGCCGTAATTAACTTAATGTAAATGAAATGAAATGAAATAATACTAACACTGTGGAGTGGTGGCAGAGGTATCCACCACAATCTCCAAAAATCTAAATGCTCTGTTCCACCTTTTGTTCAGTTGAGACTGGCAATCCCATGGCTAAAATCAATATCAGTGATTCTAGTGAAGGTGTATGGAGTTTAAAAACACAGTAGAGCACTTCCTTTATTACCACATGACGTCACAAGGTGGAGTGTTTTCTGTTTGAGAAGAACTCATCTTAAATATGTAGGGTTTTGTTTGTTAAATATGTGTGAATGACACAAAACACAACTCCAGGTATGTTTTAATGAAGAAACAACATTATAACATCAGAAAATAACATAATATAGGGGCCATTTAAGCTCCATTGACACCTCTTAAATCCAAAGTAACTCATAGTGTTGGTTTAGGACCCAGCCATGCATACAACTTAACAGGTCAGCAAAGTCGATGTACAACTTGACACCACTTAGGCTGTTTATCATGTCCATGCTCTCCCTTTCCCTGCACTTACTGAACAGCCACTGTCAGCTGCTCTCCTGATGTCAGATTAATCTTTAAAGCCCTCCCTAATGAAATCACTGATTGATCGTGCGACTGTTTTATCTATCAGTCCAGCGCCAGTGGTTCTCACATACCCAGTGACTGTAACTCATGATTTATTAATTAGCAAAGGTGATTATCTGACCTGTGTTTTTGTCCTCTCCCTGTCTCCTCCATCACCTCTTTGCTCATTTGTCTTTCTCCGTGTCAGACCTCCTCTCCTTTCATCTGTAACTGCCCTTAACCAGTATTCTTTCTTCTTGTCTTCCCCAGGGCGAGTGCTCCACCAAGTGCTACAACATGTTCATCATTGAGACGGTGTGTGTGGCCTGGTTCTCCCTGGAGTTTATGCTGCGCTTCATCCAGGCTCAGAGCAAACTCGACTTCCTGCGCGGACCCCTCAACATCATCGACGCCATGGCCATCCTGCCCTACTACGTCTCCCTGGTGGTGACGGAGAAGGAGCCCGGCACGGAGCACGACAAACCTGGAGGAAAGGGGTATCTGGATAAGTTGGGGTTGGTGCTACGGATCCTGCGGGCACTGCGGATCTTGTACGTGATGAGGTTAGCGCGCCATTCGCTTGGGTTACAGACTCTGGGGCTGACGGTCAGAAGGAGCACGCGGGAGTTTGGTCTGCTTTTGCTGTTTCTCTGTGTGGCCGTCACCCTCTTCTCCCCGCTGGTCCACCTAGCCGAAAGTGAGCTCACCGGGACCCATGACTTTAGCAGTATTCCCGCATCCTATTGGTGGGCTATCATCTCCATGACGACCGTGGGCTATGGCGACATGGTGCCCAGGTCCATCCCAGGGCAGGTGGTGGCTCTCAGCAGCATTCTCAGTGGGATCCTAATCATGGCCTTCCCCGCTACCTCCATCTTCCACATGTTCTCCCGCTCGTACCAGGAACTCAAGATGGAGCACAAACGACTGTTCAAGGAGGAGTGCGCAGCCGCTGCCGCCGCCGCCGCTGCCACCGGAGAGCAGCTGTTGGAGGTGGGAGGGGACCTGGGCAGGAGAGGGGGTGGAGAGGCGGGGGCGGAGGACTCTGCTCCAACCGGACTACACCTGGAGAAGGACGGGCTGCACTCACTGGATTCCCTGGCCCTGCTGGGGAAAGGAAACAACAACCACACTCTGCCACCAGCAGCCTTCTGAACTCCAATGACTGATTCAATCCTTAACTTCCAATACATGAATGCCCCTTTAGTATGTGCACAGAAGAGGCCTGATGGAGAATTCTCTCAAGAGATCTTAAAGGTGCACTGTGTAACTTTCTGGTGGAAGATCTTGTCTTCATTGAAATGTTATTGCTTTGTCTTGAATGTCAGTATGTACAGTCTGGCATTAAACTCATCTGTATCCATGGAGTAAAACAATAGAAACTGAATAAATGCAACATGGATGAGCTTAATGCCACAATGTGAAACCTTTCAGGCAAAACAATAATATCTCCATTGAAACAAGTTTGTGGCCCTTTATGTTTCTCCTGGAATCATTCGCTGGTCTTAGGCCTGTCATGATAATTACTATATCGACTTATTGTTCAAGAAATGAAAGATGAGACAGTATTTATTTTATTTTTTTTAAATCAGTATTTATCATGAATACATTTTTGTTCTTTTATTGTTTTATTGTTTTATTTATTGTCTTATCATATCTTATATGATAAGATTTAAGTAAAACGTTTAACAAGTAACTTCTATGACTCATTATAAACGCAAACTAAGAACTAAAGTGTTTCATTTTGCTGTTTATTTATTGCAGCTCGTGATTTTTTAACAGTATTGCAGCTTTAGAATATTTTTATGGGTTTAAATCAGCTCTTGACTTATTGTGTCAGCGGGATAAATTTGTTTAATTTATCATCTATATTTTCTTCAGCAATATATGGCACTTCAAAACGAGTTATCATGACAGGCCTGCAGAGGGGTTCAATTTCAATTTGTTAATCTGGATGCCTATGTTTGCTATCAACAAGGATATGAGAATGCTAAATAATACATTCTTGTACAGAGAGCTTGTTCAGATGTGTGCATATGTGAAAGGGGCTTATGTGTTACATGCATTCAATTTATTTATGGAGCCATCCATACTACAGCAACAAAAATGAGGAGATGAAATATTCCTGTATCCTTTGGCCCACTGACTGTATTGTACCACCCGAACAGCACAGGATGAACTACTAATGATATAAATCCCTTTAAAATTGGATTTTCTAGCTTTTCTCAGACCAATAGTGACTGCTTCCATGCACATGCAATATCCAACCCAAAGTTGCTTTTCCTTCACTGTGACAATGACTGCAACCGTTTTATTTGCATCTTGATATGTTGCCTATAGAATGATTTTAATATATTCGCTACTTTCTTGCCATGATCTCAAGAAGTGCTCCTCGTAGGTTTTTTTTGAGAAGCCTGAAGCCATTTTTCTGATAAAATATGTAACTAATAGTTTTAACATATATTCATCTTTCTCTAAGTATATGTTTGTATGCTTGACGGATTCTGTGCAATGAAGCGAAGTCGGAAAGGAGTGAAAAGAAATATTGTTTTATATTTGAGATGAAAGAGAAAGTAGAATGTGTGTGTTGCAGTGTGAGGGTGAGTGAATGAGACATGAATAAACACTAACAACCATGAAATGTACTTTGCAACGCTCCAAATAAAAGCTCCCCTAGTAATCTGAACAAAATCCAATTTCTGAGTTGACAATTTTATTTATTTATAGATAAGCCTATATACTTTTTTTTTTTTCTTTTTTTCCTATCCTAAAGGATGACAGTGTAATCTTCTCGACTGACTCCGAATGCCTCATCAGGAAACAGCTGTAAGTATTGAACATGGATTCTATGAAAATCCGCCTCTTGCATCAGCTCTTTGTCACCACATGCACGGTATAAAGCAATTTCAATAATATTTGTTTTTGCCTTTTCTGTGAGATTTTAGTTTTTCTGGTAAGTCAAATCCGAAGATTTCAGATTGTGAAGGCACGCAGACACCAGATGTGGATGTAATCTCGATTTAAATCTGGATTATTGCTCCCAAGAATGGGTTACGGCAACTACAACTTCACTTGATCCAGTCGCTTTCAATTTATTTTCCTCAAATTCTAGGATGGATTAGAAAAGCTTTATTGTTGGTTTGTTATTGTTATCAAATAAATATTGTCTAAATTATTCATATGTTACAGCGAGAATATATGAAACGGAAAAATGCCTCTGTGGGAACATATGGCTCTGCATGTTTCACTTGAATAAAGCAAACCAACTTTGCATGATGGATTACGCAGATTAATGCTATTATCCATTGTTTTGAGAAATGCTAATATTTTAAAACCGCTCTCCTCACATGGTGATTATATAGGGATATAACACATGGAGCTCATTTTACAGAGATTATTCCTTAAGCATATGACAAATCCAAATTACCATAGGGGTAGAAGAGAGTTAGGAACTGCTGTTTTTACCATGAAATCTAGTGTGGGTTTACTGGAACATTGGGGATGGTGATTTCAGGAATACCCAGTGGTGTAAAAAGTACTCAATTTTGTTACTTAAGTAAAAATACAGATACTGGAGAAAAAAAATACTCAAATAAAAGTAAAAGTATCACCTGAAATATGTACTTAAGTAAAAGTATTAAAGTACCTGTTTTTAAATGTATACACCTGTGGTCCTGCGTGACAAAAATGTACATTGATAAAGAATACCACAATATTTTTATGCAGTACATTTTTGCCCATCTTTATATATCAGTGTCTTCATTTACTTCTGCCCTAATCATACATACCAAATAATATATAACATTTTTAAATTTTAACATGTTAAATAACAGTTTTGTTAGTGAAAGTCTCAAATTATGTGAATGAAAAAAATGAAAAAAAGTTATTTTTGTTGTTTTGGTTTTTTTTTTGTCATATTTTCAAACAAATTTTAATTTGCACACACAAACTCACACACACTCCACACAGACATATTCAGTGCACTCTGGGACTCCTCTAGAACACACCCACACCATTTTGACCTCAAATATCTACATCTCTGACCTTCAGTGTGGACTAATATGTACAAATGTCTTTCTATTGATATAACCTTCTAATGGTAAAAAGAAAAATATAAAAAATTTCAAAAAGACAATAAAACTAAAAATATTTCAACACCAAAGAATGAAAAATAAATCATAAAGTAAAGATATCCTGGCAAAGTTATGCCAGTACACAAAGCCATTTTGAATGGAAGTCAATGGGACAAAAATTTACAAAAGGACCACAGGTGTGAGTATTTTGATTATAGACTGTTTAATTAATATCATTAAAAAAAAAAAAAAAAAAAAAAAAAAAAAAAGAAAGAAAGAAAGAAATTAAAAATACATCACAAAATACACAAACAAATTTTGGTGATATTTGTTGCAATCTAGCCAAAGTTATGCTAAAAATAAAACTTGAGATGTACAAAAATGTACCGAGGGGTGTAGGAGGGTTAAAGAGTAAAAGTATTTCACACATATTTTGAGATCTTATAAAGCTTCAACGTAACGATTTTGATAATGATTTGTGCTGAATTTTGTTCAACAGAAACAATTAAATCTGTAGTTTTTTCCTATCTGTTTTTATTTGTATATATTTGTTTCCTCAAACTATGACCTTGATTTAAAAAATAAAAAAATAAAAAAATCAAGATCTCAAATAATGAAAATATTTTTATTTTTCAGTTCAGTTAAAAATGTGTAGTAGAAAATCCAGGTTCCTCCTCTCAAATGAATAGTAGTGAAGTAAAAGTAAAAAGTATCCACCTTAAAATGTACTTACATAAGGTACAGATACCTAATATGTTTACTTAAGTACACTACTTTACTACTTTTACTTTGTTATGTTCCACCACTGGGGATACCAAATAAAGACATGCCACCAAATTATGATTTATAATCTTATATTGTTATAGTAACCCATTAATATCAATTACACAGAGCAGCGCACTGTCACTTGTGTGTATTTTTTAGTTGATGTCTCCATTTGTTTTATTTCTGGTGGAACGTGTATCTGACTAAATGAGCCTATTAAGTTATGTAACGTGATTTTGTAATTTGCCCTTGGAAATTGCGTTTAACAACTGCCAAAGAGCCTTCACTATATTTACTCTTGGATGAACACCAATAATTGACGCAGACACGTATTATCTTTTAATGAGAAGAGCCCATTATTTATCTGTAACTCCGATGGAGAACTGGACTCATATCTGCCAAGTCGTCACCAGTCGCCTGCTAAACACAAATGGTGCACTGTTTCAAACCCAGCTCAGGATAAAGGCTTTGTGATACTGCAGTGTTTGTTCCCTTTATTCTGTTGTCTGATTTATCTTATTATATTTCCCTCTCTCAGTCTTTCTTCAAATAGATCTCTTCATTTGCATATCAGCTCATCTGAAAACAAAGCAGTGTGTTGGTAGAGTCGACAAGATACAAGTGAGATACACATATAAGATCCCCACATGAAGGCTGATGTATTTGGTGAGGTTTCGCATCGAAACAAATAGCAGTTAAGGCAGTCGAGATGAGATATAAATATAAAGCAAAAACATTAAAGGTGCATTGTGTAAAAGGGTGTAGGTTTGGGCTCAGCCTTCGTGGGGACATTATCAGCCCCTTCCATATTTTTTTATTAATTCTTTCTAAAACACCCAGAGTCTAGGCAGATCACAATGTCTGTTTTTCAGCCTGTAGAAGTTTGTAGCAGATCTCCCTTTGCTTGTTGGTGATGAAGATATTTATGAAGTAATGTCCAGACATTTTTCCATGAAATACTGTCGATAGAGTCTGGCTGCTAACAGCGCACAGAGTAGGGCTCTGTTTGGGAGGTGTACTTGCAGCGATACTCACTCTTTTTACTTGGTGACTCATTATAAGACAAGTTTAATTGAAGATGAAGCCAAGTAAGTTCCTTTTGAAGTTTTTCAAAGTTTGGTGCAGCATCTTCACTCACGCCTGCTCAAGCAATCTTGAGTGCTGGCTCTGTCCTGCTGCTTCCCTAATTCAAGCTCCTGGCTCCACAAATGGCATCACTCTGTTGCAGCCAATGAACTAGCAGCAGGGGTAACCCCTATCACTGACTACATCTCAAAACACCTACAAGACAAAATGTGACCTAAAACATGTTACATTAATACTACTGAGTTTGGAAAAATATTGGAATAAATGTATATTTCCATTCCATTCCATTTTCTTCCGCTTATCCGGGGCCGGGTCGCGGAAGCAGCAGTCTAAGCAGGGACTCCCAGACTTCCCTTTCCACGCACACTTCCTCCAGCTCTTCTGGGGGCACCCCAAGGCGTTCCCAGGCCAGCCGAGAAACATAGTCCCTCCAGCGTGTCCTGGGTCTTCCCCGGGGCCTCCTCCCGGTGGGACATGCCCGGAACACCTCCCGAGGGAGCCGTCCAGGAGGCATCCAGAAAAGATGCCCGAGCCACCTCAACTGGCTCCTCTCAACGTGAAGGAGCAGCGGCTCTACTCCGAGCTTCTCCCGTGTGACTGAGCTCCTCACCCTATCTCTAAGGGAGCGCCCAGCCACCCTGCGGAGGAAACTCATTTCGGCCGCTTGTATCCGCGATCTCATCCTTTCGGTCATTACCCAGAGCTCATGACCATAGGTGAGAGTAGGAACGAAGACTGACCGGTAAATCGAGAGCTTTGCCTTTCGGCTCAGCTCCCTCTTCACCACAACGGTCCGATACAGCGACCGCATCACTGCAGACGCTGCACCAATCCGCCTGTCAATCTCACTTTCATCCTCCCCTCACTCGTGAACAAGACCCCGAGATACTTGAACTCCTCCACTTGGGGGCAGGGACTCTCCACCCACCCGGAGAGGGCAAACCACCTTTTTCCGGTCGAGAACCATGGCCTCGGATTTGGAAGAGCTGATCTTCATCCCAGCCGCTTCACACTCGGCTGCAAACCGCCCCAGTGCACATTGCAGGTCCTGGTTCGATGAAGCCAACAGGACAACATCATCTGCAAACAGCAGAGATGAGATCCTGTGGTCCCTGAACCGGACCCCCTCCAGCCCCTGGCTGCGCCTAGAAATTCTGTCCATAAAAACAATGAACAGAACCGGTGACAAAGGGCAGCCCTGGCGGAGTCCAACATGCACTGGGAACAGGTTTGACTTACTGCCGGCAATGCGAACACAGCTCCTGCTCCGGTCATACAGGGACCGGACAGCCCTTAGCAAAGGGACCCGAACCCCATACTCCCGGAGCACCCCCCACAGGACACCACGAGGGACACGGTCGAATGCCTTCTCCAAGTCCACAAAGCACATGTGGACTGGTTGGGCAAACTCCCATGAACCCTCGAGCACCCGATGGAGAGTGTAGAGCTGGTCCAGTGTTCCACGGCCAGGACGAAAACCACACTGCTCCTTCCTGAATCCGAGGTTCGACTATCGGGCGGATTCTCCTCTCCAGTACCCTGGAATAGACCTTACCGGGAAGGCTGAGGAGTGTGATTCCCCTGTAATTGGAACACACCCTCCGGTCCCCCTTCTTATATATAAATGTATATTTTTGTTTATTAAAATAAAATGACAAATATTCGTAGCGACTATTTTGTCTTGTCCCCACCGTCTCTATGCAAACCTATGCTCTTGATTGTGTACCTTTTCTGGTGGAGGTCT